AGTGGTCGTTCCGATGAATTTGTACCGGTTAAAAAGTCAGAGTGACTCCTACTCAAGATAGAGTGGATGGTTTTGCTTCATCTGTTCATACGATGTCAATGGTTTTGTTGGGAAAAAAGGATGTCCTTCGCGATCACTCAGTTTCGGAAACGTATGTTGGGCCTTTATCTCATCTGCCCTTCTCACGTGATGTTGAATGCCTTCCATTGCAGCTGTTTGTCAATATTTATCACTCTGGTCGGTCGGATTTGATGCCGGGGGAGTTGCCTTTTCACTTTTTTGCTCGGGAAGATAAAATATCTGATACTAAGGTCGAATCACGACTTTATCCACCTTTCAAAGATACTGATTTCCATGATCGCATGTTTCAGTTTGATAATGTGAAGCCCTTGGTTCCTCCTTGTACGGCTGCTTATGCTGGTAATGAATACAAAATATGTCGTCCTCTGGAACCACCTACATCGCCGTCAAAACCGGAGCATAGAGCGAATGACTTTGACATATCCATCAGCGGGAGAATTGCAAGCGGACGCACGCTACCGGTTGGTATTGCACATCCTGTGCCCAAGATCTCGGAAATACCAAAAAGTCGGCATTATGACGAAATTGCAGAGGTCAGACGTTCCGAAGTGACATCAACACCTCATGATTTTGATTATCATCGCAAAACTCGTGAAGTGGACTACTGGATCGGACGACGTTCAGAGCGTCAGTCGAAGCCATATCGCGATCTTACCGCTGATATCGGCATCGACTTAGCATCAGATGTTGGTTGGGAGGAACGTAATATATTCGAGACTCAACCGCTAGAAACAACTGGCATACGACAAAGCGCTCGTGATTACTCAACATATCCCAGTAAAGTAAGAGCGCGAAAAGTTTCTCCAACAGCTCACTTACATTGGACAACGGTCAGTGAAAAGACATCTATCTCGTATAAAAAACGTATCTCTATTGAACGACGCCGACCGCACCAAACTTCATCTCCCCAACTTGCTACTTATCGACGTCAATACCGACCACCACCACCACCACCCGAAGTTTCAGCTTACGCCCGTCATGATAGAGCCGTTTTTGAGAGCAGTACATTACCTCGAACATATGCTGGAGTTGCAATCGAGGGTGACTTACGTATGCAACGTGCTCGATATGAAGCCTCATCTCTACCTTCTAGCTATTATTCCAGCACTGAAACAAGAGTTAGTTTTAACAACTAGTTGAAAGTTAAACTTTTTTTTATAATAAGTAATATAAGTATTTCTTTCTATAAGAAATCTTGCTCGTACAAATATCTCTTAGATTTCAATTGGTAACAAACATTTCAGTTATAGCTCTAAAAATCAACAAGCTAATTTTGAATATTATTGCTGCTATTACTAGATCGAGCGTAATCCGGTTCGTTATGATCTACCACGTCCCTCAACACCACCACGTTATGAGTACTGGGCCGGAGAACGTAATAAGTGGACCGTGGAAGGTTCACCAAAGCAATTCTCTATTACAGATCAAAATGGTCATTCTGCATATGATGACTATTACATGAAACGTAAGGTTTAATTCGTTGAATTTTGATTACTTCAAGTTAATGGGATGGAATAATTTTTTAGTCATTTTTTATCAGTCTTTTTTTTTTTATTTTTACTTTAAACATTTACGTCAGCACATCATTTAATCTTGTTATTAATAAAATTTTTTCATAATTAATCCCAAGATTTATAATCAACAAATTTCTTGCAATGTTCGCTGATTTTCAGGTACCAAACAAGAAGCTTTGCATTATCAGAAATCGAATCTTGAAGAAATACCTATTATATCACTGATAAAGGACTTACCAATGATAGAAGATGGTGCTGATGAATGTTCATGCGCATCCATATTGCCAGCATCAAGGATAGAAACACAAGGTTAATACCAGATTTTCCTCGCTTTCTTCCTAACTACCGCTTTTCCCCTTGATCTTCTCTCATAAATACGAAATAAGATATTCAAGATAAAAAGGTCACAATAAACTTTCCAAAATGTATCCCGAAGTAAAGATAAGATGCGATAAGAACGCTCTATCACTGTTAATCATTATTACATTTTATCTCTACTTTAGGATATTTTGGATATCACATTTTATCTCTAACTCCAGAGCTAATATGAATTTATTGGATCAACCATAGTATTAGTATTGTAATCAATTTTTAATTTTCAGCGAGTTTTTTATTTTCTTAGAGATTTAGATCTAATTATTATTGTGCATCTAATTAATTTTTTTTATTCTTTCTTTTCAAAAAAATTTTGAGCAACTTTTTCTTTCGATATTTTTAAAATTGTTCATATATATTTAGGATTATTTTTTATTCATACTTGCATAGTTTTTTTTTCTGACAAGGTAATTTTCTTATTTTTAATTTCTTTTTGTCAAATTTATTTTTTATCAATCAGAATTGTAAATTAGCTAAACATTTGCTATGCCATATTACAAATACATATTTTTTAGTATAATTGTACAAGTTTATTCGTCTAATCCAATGTTTTCTGAAATTTTGCATTTTTTTTTCATATAAATATGCAAATATTTAGGCATTATTGTATATAGTTTTAATGATATTAGAATGCTCTTCTTCGTTAAGATATGTTAAACACTGCCACGAACTAATAATTTATTAATTGTAGGGTGGAATATGCGATATATATTAAATTTTAAAACAAATTTCTGCACTTTTTCTTTTTTTTTTGGTCAGACGGTTATCGTATTTTCTATTTGACTATTAATTAACTTATTTAATTGCATACTTTAACGTTATTTAATTTTATGCTTCGCAACATGTTAATCAACAAAAAAAAAGAAAAAAATACACCAATTTGTAGATTTGCCACCTGGTGAGCATTCTCGTCCATCTCGATCAGCACCGCTGCGTCGTGCAAGACAACGTATCCGTAATCTATGCACAATGTTATAATATGGCATTTGCTGTATTATAGCATTCCAGAAACCGGAGATTTGGACTTAACCAACAGAAATATCGTGGATTCACTCTCAAATTATTCGAAACATTTTCATATAAAATTTGTTAGTTCAACTAGCGATATCGAATGTTGCTGTGAATTATGAGTGGCGCTTTCTATGCATTTAATTGCTGTAACAGGCGGGTTTAAGCGTTTGCGGAAATTTTTTTCGTTTTGTTTAAAAATTTCAATTTTTTTTGGATGTTTTCGAAATGCATCAGAAATAGTTGCTTTATTCCATATCTATTACATATATTCAACCAGTATTAATAAATATTCTAAGAAACCTCAATGCTTTGATTACTTTGATTTTTTGTAGTTGTTGAATTTTTACGAATTCTTCCAAAAAATTTAACAGACAGTAAAAAAGGTGCATATTGACCCAGAAGTACTTTTAGAATTGATTAATAATTATATAGTTTAATTATACTCAGGCAAAACTACTATGAAATATATTTCGGAAACATCAAAAGATTGAATAATTGTTAGATTTTGAAAAAATGAAATTTCTGATGGACGCTGTAACTTTTTTAGCCGTTGCGCATCATTGTTATCAAAGAACGAATTGTGTGATGATTTTGCTTTATATATATATATATATATATATATATATATATATATATATATCATGAGCTGATATAAATCTGTTCGATTTCTGTTTGTCTTACTGATATCAACTGAGCAATATAATGATGATAATAAGTTGTTTTTGTTGATGTTGCATTGCTTTTTTATATATACTATATTCACTGATGATAAGATTTATTGATATTAATGCCGTTGTTTAATTTTAATTTAATTTAAAGAAATAGATAAAAAAAAACGATAAAATAAATTGTAACTAATCGTTTACAAGACAAATAATCTCGCCTATTTCTTTATGGTTTTGCAATTATTACCAATATGTTTTTTTCTTTTTATTTTTACCTATTTCTGACGATAAAATGAACTTTTACAGGTATCGTTATTTTAAATACTAGTATTCATCAAACATCATCACAGCCTTTTTCTTTTGATTGATGAATTTTTTACTGTTAATATTAAAGTGACTTTGAGCTTTTTGTTCTTCGAAAGAAATTATGAGCATTTGGATAAGTTATGATGATGTTAGATAGAATAAAAAAAAGGAAAAGTATTGTGAGATACATTTTTTCCATGATTCCCATGAATATTCCATTTGATCATTTTCATTCATTTCATTTAAAAATTAAATGGCATCATCTCAAACACAAGTGACATCTTTTAAGGAAATATTGAAGATTCTTGATCCCTTTTGTTTTTCTTTCTTAATTTATATGGTAATTAATTAAATATGGGAAGTCCCGGTACATGTTACGTGTCTTTCTTCTTTTGTTTGAAATAATCGAACTATTAATATAAATGACCATATATGATCTTTCCCGCTTTATTAATTACTACTGTGTTAAATACAATTCCATCCCACCATTTATTTGTATGCAAATATCTTTCATTTTTTAAACTCTTCCTGATTGTCCATTTCTTCTCTTTGCTCATTTTGACAAATTTATTTCTTATACACCAGTGTTTATTATTCTTGCTTGCATATTTATAAAGTATCGAAACCTGATGTTAATATTTTTTACATGTCATTACTTTAGTGCCAGATATTCCTAACCCTTACCGTCGCAGCAATTACAAAAAAAAAGAAAGAAAGAATAGGAAAGTATTAAGCAGTAACCAACGTGTAGTCTGATCACTTCACATCACAAAAAGCACGAAATGTCAAAAAAAAGTATCCTCATCTATGTTGGAATATGCGACATGCTGTCCAGAATTCCAATTTATTCAAACGAGACCCTACGTCCCATCTGTATCACTTTGTCCAGTGTGACCCAACAATTTCACTGTTCGATAACTGCTATTTCCGATTTAAACTGCGGCTAGAGTAACGGATATTCCATACTTCGTGGGTAAAGAATAAAATATAGAAGTTACCAAAAACTACTCTCCGTAATAATGACCATTTTAAATAAAACGATTGAAAGAAAAATACATGACAAAACGTAGAGATCTTTATGCAATATGTCGCAAAAATAAGAGGCAACAATTCCAGCAAAGTTAATTATAATTTCTGCATCAAGCATCGGGTGCGATCCTCTTGATCAATTCAGATACTTCATGAAACAAATCCGCATAATCTGCATGTTCTTTTATGAGAAGTAGTATAGCTGCCCTTTTATGTCCTGAAACATTTCATCGGATCGTAGGATGGGAAAGCAAATTTAAGCAAAATTTCCCGCCAAAAAAAATCAAGTCCGTCTCAGAATGATTTAATATTGTCTGAAAATATCAAAATTGAATCAACCATAAATGCATAAGACATTTTAAAGAAACCATAAAGTTGAACCTCCTCCCAGCTTAATGACGAATGAGAAAGTGACCAGACAGTAACATCGTGAATTACTACTGGAAGGAATATTACGTCGTTTCCGCGGTAAAATCATGCTGTTATCAGAAAATATGCTAAATCAAATAACCTGATAGTTTTTTGTTTGATGAAGTAGGACTAAAAATAATTCAAATTACATGGTAGAATTTCGCAATCTTACCAGTAGCCAATCCGAGATGTTCGCGCGATGGTGTAAATATATATGGGATATCCTTTTCCTCACATATGCCTGGGATATGTGAATAAACATCTACTGGTGATACGTTACCTATAAAAACATTTCTATCGACTTTTTCTACATGAAAGTTTAGAATCCGGCAAGATTATTTCTCATGGATCCGAATTCTGGAGGACTGAATAAGCGGTTGTTTATTAAAAGTTCTCTGGGATTCAAAAGCGTTGCAAATGTCTCTCGTCTACATCTTACTTTTTTAATGTAGAACCAATAAAAGCTGGAAGACAGAACCAGCGCTGCATTAGACAATCTTATTTCGTAAATCATTGCACAACGTTAACAACAAGCATAGCCATACGATGCCGTATGATTTATAATCATGTCCAATTCGGCTGAAAGATCCTACCTGCAAGCACAACGATACCAGTTTCATTCTTTCTCAAAGCTTTTTGTACGTCGCACATTCCTTGTCTCAAATATTGCTTATCTTTAGAAGCCTAAAAAAACCAGTTCTTTAAATCATAAAATTTTTCGGCATGAATCATACTAAAAGATAATAGAAACAGAACTCAAAAATGGCAAAGACGAGTGAAATTGGTACCTTTTTTATTAATTTGTAAATTTTCTTTGCTACTTTTCTTGGAGCAAGTGGATGGGCGATAGCATTAACCATGGTACAAAGTTCGTCATATTCATCCTGAAATGCTTTCAGTTGGGAGGAGCTAACTTTATAATAGAGTACAGAAAATCAGTGCCATATATGAAGTTATGAATCAGAAACTTCGAAACAACAGAGATTACGCTCAATATACTACGCTATGGGAACAGGAACTAATGGTCACCATCGATTAAACCTTATTTTTCCTCACGTGCACTTTGTACTACAATTAACGTGTAGTACCAAAACACGTTCGGTAATTCTTTCTATAACTGACGATAGTTTAAATTTATGATTAACACAATACAAGCCTTTGAGGACCCATTATGCCAACAATAAAAGAATATTTGTTAAATACTAAAATGCTTTACCTGGCCAACCTTAGCTGACATCGGTGTTTCCAGTATGCCTTTGTCACCTAAACCATTTATTGATGGTTTCACATCTTCATCCACTTCCATCTTCACGTCAGCATTTGAATGCAAATCCGTTTTCGATTTCCCCATTTTGTGATCTGCAATATTCTGCCCTTCTTCTGTCAGTGAATATACGGTGGAAGCGTATATATAATGTAAACAGGACTTTATGTCGCTAAAATTCCTGGGCACCTGCTGCAACCTCTCTCGATACATACTTCTCCCGTAAGGTGACCACCACTAATTCCACTAGTTCTGGACCAACCATCAAATTCCATCAACTTAAGCTGTCTTCCGTCCACAGTACTTTACACTGATGTGCTCACCTACGGCAATACAAATCAACCTTTCCCCATCGCAAACGGATACACTAACAACGAACAACTTTGAACTTAGTGAATACTCCACGTCCTCTGCTAAAATGCAAATGCCATAATTTTTACCAGCGAAAACTACTCCACGAAATGCACTATACATTACCCATGTATGATAATCATTAGAAGCAAACATTAGAACCATAGCCTTTAAAATTGTAATATTTCTAATGTTTCTGTATCCAGAGTGAAAATCACTTTCCTCCTTCTGTATAGAACCGAAAGTAGAATGAAGTCTTCCAGAAGCTTCAGGTGAACTGAAAACATAAAACGCTATGGTCAAACAAACGTTTATCTAAACAATAAAATAACATCAAGGAAAAATTATTTTCAACAATTCTAACATTTCCATCCTGGAAATAATCAGCAGCAAATGGCATTAAAAGAAAATATGTAGATTTTATTTTGGCTAAACTTCTAATAGAAGGAAAACGGACACAGTAGGAAAAACTTATTAGAAAAAAACTTTGGAAGCAATAGCCATATGACCAACAATTGAATAAAATATAAAATAAACGAAAAAGAGCCAACTTTGTGCAAAACACCAAAGTAACTGATAAGATGGAAGACATCAACAACTAATATAAGTGACACATTCTTTCTCAGATACTTCAAATTCAGCTAAAAAAAGAAAACGTTAGACGAAATATTTCTTCAATCGGTATCGCTACTAAATTTAATCGAATGAGAACTGGTATCAATATGTGTACCACTACCATTGTAGGTGCCACGCTTCTTCTTTGTCTTTTCATGCCGAAATCCTTTGCCTTGCACCTTTTTCAAATCTTCATACGCTTTCTTACCCCATTGGTCGTAAGTCTAAATGGAAAGAACAATGTGAGGAAGCAAAAAGAATATATAGAGTGTCAAGATTCCAAACAAAATTTAAATTACTGTTTTAAGTAGCACCAAAATATTTCGACAGTGCAACTCTATGGATATGCGCCACAAAACCAATAGCAAGGCTAAAAGCTCCAGAACCACTTCATATTCATAGTTTGATGTAATTTGTAGAGTAGGTGAAAAATATAAATAAAATACTTTTTATCCAATGAGTTTCTACAATTCTTGAAAATGAGAAAAAATCGGAAACGAAGTTTATATTAAACTCGAACTTTTGTCCGATAAGAATTGTCGCGAAATTTGTCATCCAATTCATCCTTCGAAATCGTCACTCGACGAAACGGCTCATTCTTCATCAGCTACAATTTTTTTTCGGACTTTATGAATTACTGAGTTCCAAATCAGGAAAAATCCGGTAATATGTTTGGAAAAATCATGAACTACTTAGAAAGGAAGATCGAACAACAGGAAATAAACTCTATTCCATAAACAACAACTCCAAAAATGGAAGATATTAGTAGCAGCTAGAAATACTGTTAAAAATCTCTGAGAGTTACAGAAGTTCGTTAGAAGTACTTCATTAATTAATAGATATATTAAAGAAAAATTATAACTGCAATATACCTTCTGTTTTTTGTTATTGCTTTTACCCACAGTGTTTTGGTTGTTGCCCATTCTGCAAATGTACGTATGGAAGAAATTTGCACATATTATCAAAAATCCCTTTCGATATACAAAAATATTTACACTTTTCGTATAAAACTCTACAGAAGCATCATCGTAATCCGATTATGACTAAATGTAAATTTATAAAACAGTTATAAACCTCTCTTGCGCATCATCACTTCCATCTTTTAAGTCCGTGTTTTTACCTTCCTCCTTCAAATCTGCATTTTTTCCACTCCGATTTTTTTTATTGTTGTCCTAAAGAAAGATTAAGTTACAAGAAATCCAACCTGTCCAATTAATCTAACATTACCAGTTTCAATCCATTAATTATCTATTGAAGTCCAAGCAACTTAACCACTGAATTTGAATCAATACCTCTTTGAACGATTCTGATTTCACAATATCGATAGCTTTCCCTGTATCATCTTTTCTAAAAAAAAGTGAAAGATAGACATAGGGTGGAAATAGCTAAGGGAAAATAGAAAAGATTGAAAGACAAAAGTAGGTGTAAATTCTAATAAATTTACAATTTGAAAAACGAAGATTCGAGTATTCTCAGAAGTTAACCTTTTATTATTATCTTTGTCACTGTCATCTGACGAAGAATCATTAGACTGTCTCGTTGCTGCTTTCTTTGTAGAATCGATAACACTGCTGGAAGTTCCTTCATTAGCTTGCTTAGGCATAGCTTTCACTTTTCTTTCCTTTGAGGCTACTTCACTGTCTGAACTTGAACTTGATGAAGTAGCTGAATCCTTTGTAGCAACAGATTTGTCATTTATTCGTACCTCCCTCGCAGTTTGCAGCTGCAACGGTTCCAAAGCAGCTTCATCGGAATCTGAATCTGACGAAGTTTCAGAATCCCTTTCGGCAGGAAGTTTAGAACTATTTGGCGGTTTTGTTGTTGCTTTTTGATGGAAGTTTTTCAGTTTCGATGAACCTCCAGTCTTTTCAGTGAAGGCTTTACTGATCACAGTAGGCACTTTCGTTTCAGCTGTCTTAGCTCCAGCATCATCGGAAGAACTACCATCAGAAGAGCTATCATTCACTAATTTCTGTTTTCCGGTCATTTTCTGCTGATGTTGCAACCCAACTGACTGCTGCTTTTGTGTTGTTTTTCCAGGAAGAACAGTTTCGGAATCCGAAGATGAATCAGAAGGACAGGAACCCGACTTGACCTTCAACTGAATGACTGCTGGTTGCGATACTTTCTTGGATTGTTTCGCATTCGCAACCGCTGCAACTTGTACTTTCTTTATTTTGCTATCACTGTCTGAATCAGAAGACGATGTATCTTCATTTGCAAAGATCTTGTCTCCAATCATTTTTGTCGTTACAGTTTTCATTGCTGCCTCACGATGTGATTCATCAGAATCCGACGAACTTGAAATACTCTTCATGGCACCATTCAATTTGTTATTCAGGACATTCCCAGATTTTTGTCGCGTGTTTTTCCTTGGTTTTATTGCACTACTGCTATCGCTGTCACTAGAATCGGAGGAACTTGTATCTACTGCTTTCACCTGAATTGTCCTTGTCGCTTTCTGATGAACCTGCAACTTCAGTTTTTTAGCAGGTGTTTCATCACTCACGCTTTCAGAGTCCGAACTACTATAATCTAAGTCTTTCGTAACTTGAGGTTTCCCAGTAGAAGACACAGTTATTCCGGATGTTCTAGCTAGGGGTTTAGGAGTATTCTTTTCCAAACTGTTCTCGAATTTTCCTCCTCTCTGCATTGCAAGAGATCTATTTGTGTTCTGCTTTACTGATATTTCCATATTCTTGGCCGCACCATCATCGCTACTGGAAGCACTGCCAGATGAACTTTCAGATAATTTTTTCGCAGTAGCTGCATTTTTTAAATTTGCATTTGATGTGGCCGGAACTGTTTTCCCGAGAACTTTTCCTTGCATTGATGGCATTAAACTCTTATTTGCATCATCATCATTATCACTTGAAGTGCTTTCAGATGAACTCTCAGTTGGTTCTTTTGCAGAAACTGTATTTTTCGAATTGACACTTAGCGGCGCCGGGACTGCTTTCCTATGAACATTTCCCGGTTTCAAACTTTTGCCCGCATCATCACAGCTACTGGAAGTACTGTCAGATGAACTTTCAGATGGTTTTTTAGCAACAGCCGCATTTTTCAAACTGGCCTTTGGTTTGGCTGGAACCGGCTTCTCGGGAATTTTTCCTTGCATTGATGGCCTTATGCTCTTATCTGCATCATCATCGTCACTTGACGTACTGTCAGATGAACTTTCAGGTGGTTTTTTTCTTCAGATGGTTTTTTGATGCTGTAGCGTTCTTTAAATTACCATTCGACGAGATTGAAGCTGCTTTACCAGAAACTTTTCCGTGCACTGATGGCCTTAAACCTTTATTTGCATCATCGTCGTCATTTGAACTACTGTCAGATGAACTTTCATTTAAATCAGCATTTGACGTGGCTGGCGCTGCTTTCCCGCGAACTTTTCGCTGCACTGATGGCCTTAAATTCTTATTTGCATCATCATCGTCACTTGAAGTGCTTTCAGATGAACTTATAGCTGATTCTTTTGCAGAAACTGTATTTTTCGAATTGATAGTTGGCAGCGCCGGAACTGCTTTCTTGTGAACATTTCCTGATTTCAAACCTTTGTCTGCACCATCATCGCTACTAGAAGTGCTGTCAGATGAACTTTCAGATGGTTCTTTTGCACAAAATATATTTTTTAAATTAGCATTTGGTATGGCTGCTTTCTTGGAAACTTCCTCTCGCCCTGATGGTTTCAAACTCTTATTTGCATCATCATCGTCACTTGAAGTACCATCGGATGAACCTTCAAATGACTTTTTAGCAGAAAGTGCATTTTTTAAATTAGCATTTGACGTGGCTGGAACTGCTTTCGCGGGAACTTTTCCTTGCATTGAAGGCCTTATATCCTTATTTGTATCATTATTGTCACTTGAAGTACTGTCAGATGAACTTTCAGATGACTTTTTTGATGCCGCGTCATTCTTCAAATTACTATTTGATGTGACTGGAGCTGTTTTAACGGGAACTTTTCCTTGCACTGATGGCCTCAAATTGTTACTAGCATCATCATCATCACTTGAAGTACTGTCAGATGAACTTCCAGATGAATTTTTTCTTGTAGTAGTATTTTTTAAAATACCGTTTTGTTTAGCTGGAGTTGCTCGCTTTGAAATCTTTACGTTCATATCCACACTTATATCATCACTATCACTACTGGAAGTGCTACCAGATGAACTTCCTGGAGCTGCATTGTTCTTTAAATTGGCATTTGACAAGACTGGAACTGGCTTCCCGGGAATATTACTTTCTTGTGACTTCCCTTTAGTGCTGCTCTCATTATCATCACTGCTAGAACTTGTCAACGAACCCGCCTTCCTCGATACAGCTCGTTTTACAGTTGATGGAACCTTAATTTCTTTCTTCGTAACTTCATCTGAAGTACTTGATGAACCAGAACTGCTATCCTTTCTCGTTTGCTTCCTTGCTATCACAAGATTAAGTGGCTGGGAGACTTTAGCAATCTTGGCATTCTTCGTCGCTGAAACCAGTAAACCACTGGATTTGGATGATTTTGTTTGCAGTGTTTTACTTGCTTTTGAAATGAGTTGTCTCTGAAAATAATTTGCAAAAGCACATGAAAATTTCTCATAGTTGAAGATGAATATATAAGACCGCCACATACCCAAAATAAAAACATAAACCTATAACACTTCATGCAATATCTTAGACTAGAAATATTTAATACAAAACAAAAATTTAAATGAATTTCAAAACGATCTCAAACCATCGATATCTTCTCGTTGTCATCGCTTGAGTCAGATGATGATGAAGTTTTACCACCCCATTGGTTTACTGGCTGAGCTACTTTGTTCTTCATCTGTAATGAATCGTTAACGAAAGGATTAGCTAATTTCAAATTAAACGAAAGACCAATGAGAGACAAAAGACAAAGACAAATGAGGCTTTTTTAACAACTCTGAACTAAAATATGTTCGTTATGTAAAAGTTTTCGCAACTGTGAAGGATTGATTGCGCTAATTTGGAGTGACATTATGATTTAAGGCACCGCTTAAACTACAACGGCACAAAACCGTCTAGTTCTGATGCGCCTAAATGAAGTCCATTCGTTCGGAATTTCAAGACCAAAGAAAAATGTATCCCTTCATATCATAAAATTCTTTTTCTCACACTTCATGGAAGAAAAGCAAGGAAACTAACAGGGATATTGGAATTGGAATTTGAAGATAGTGATGGAACAGGGATACGCTTTGTTCCTGGACTCCTGATTAATTTTGTCTGAAATTACTCCAGTTAATAAATCAGTAGACATAACTCCATTAAAAAAATAAAATAAGCATCATAAGCAACTCGATTAAATCCAGTTTCAGAATTTTGATCTTAATTTAGTTTCTTCATCACATACTCCCGAGAAATCGATAAGGTGACACATTACGAAGTAATAGCAGCAGCTGATACTGACAGCTAAAATAACCGCTAAATCAGATTGTCTTAGCAGTATTAAAGTCCCGTTATAGTCTTAGGTAACGACTGCATTTCTATTTATTAACCAGACGTACTAAGCTATTGTTTTTTTAGGGTGATTCAAGTAACCATTTAACAAGCCTCAGTGCATCTTGCCTTCAAAGAACATTTATGTCAGAGAAAATTTATAAATGAAGAACTTACCGCAGCTTGCTTGATTGGATCCTCGCTATCTGAGCTGTCACTTGAATCATCCATTTCATCTTGTCTTAAAGCCTTTTTAGCAACAGGTGAACTACCGATAATGCCATTCGCGCCACGTTTTCGGCACACAATTTTATTGTATTCCTTTACAACTTCTTTAAGCGGCTTGAAATTACCAGATGATCTCTAGAAAATGTAGGCATCTTAGCAAAAAAAAAGTGTTAAGAGTATGCTACAGTAATTCGATGAGTCTTCTAATGTATGATAAGATCTGTTGATGGTAATGTCTGGCTGAAGATAAAAACTAAAAGGAAAAACGATAAATTCGGAAGAAATTTAATACCAGTCACAAATGGTAATAAATACACACCCGTTTCTTTTCTAATTCATCTCGCCGTTGTGCGCTAAACACCTTATTAACCAGTTTCGGTTCCTCCTTGATTAGATGATCATAAAACAACACGTCGAAGTCAATTGCGGATGACTCCGTCATCTTATATGATTTCTGAAAATTTGTATACCAGTAACAATAAAACAAAATAGGAATTTGACATAATCACGAATTTTTTGAATTTATTCCTACTACACGTTGTAAGCAAAATCACCAAAGCCATATAAAAAAATAAAAATCGATACATGACTAAACGAAATAGAATGCAATAGTCCAATAAATGAATTAAAAAGAGATGGCCATTAGTTCATCTATTTTTAATCATCTGTTCTAATTAATGACAAAGGCTGGTAATGCCTTACTGCTGATGAATGGAAGGAGCTGTTCCTATGAAAAGTGACAACAATGATGCAAACGGAATGCACCTGTCCACTTCTGAAAGACCGTTCCAAGGAAAACTTATTTTGATCTTTAGATAGGGCGCATCATCAGCAATTAAAATTTGCTCAGTTTACAAACAAAGACAGAAACCGAATTATAACGTCACTCGACTGATAAATTAAATTATACCATACAACGCATCCAATATACAGGGATTCAGATGAGAGCCAGATGAGAGCCATGTAAATTCCGGTGTTGTGTTTCCTTTTACTTGTAACGAATTAGAAAACAGTTGACTAACGTATTAATTAATTAATTAGCGAGTATTAGCGAGCTGTCGGTATAGACAACAGAGTGGATTAGTAATTACAAAAATAGTGAAATGTACTGAAGAATGGAGGAATCAATTGAGTAAATTAACAGTCGACCGCACAATCCCAAACACAACCCGACTACTGGTTTCCTAAAAATCCTTATCGTAACGCTGAGCTGCTATGCAACTTCGACACTAGTATGACACTATGGCAATATGCAATGCAATTAGTTGATCCCACGGTCCCCAAAATTTTCAATCAGCTAAAATTTCCCTTTTTTTCCCATTCGTTTTGGTTACACTATTTTAGCGATTTCCCATTTAAAAAAATGAATAGTTGTTTCTTTGTTCTTCCCTTACTTTTTCTTAAAAGGAAAATCACTGTGATAGAAAAACAGCTTGAAATTTAGGACTATAATTTTGTACAGTACAGAAATAGTTTGGCACCAATTAAATAGTTGTATATAATTAGTAAATCAGGTATTATTATCGTGACACTCTTTGGTATTGCTGTTAGCAGATAAATAATTAGCTTCAATTTAAATCATTAAAAGTATTTTTCAAGCTTTTATTCGTTTTCAAAATTCTTTTTATCTACAATGGTTCGTAACATTTTTCAATGATGTATATCTTTTGCCAGATGACAATGCACAATAGCTCTGTCAAGTGTAGTACATATGCTTATAAGACATTCAGTGATGTGAGATTCTCCTTTGCTACTATTGGACATTGATCGATAATACTACCTTGACATTTTCCGGTATTACTACTGTGACACTCTTCGGTATTGTTGTTGTGATATTCTTTGGTATTATTATTTCCAGTAATTTTCTTTGTTCGTACTATCTTCGAATTGCATATGATCAATATGTAATAATGTTGAAGTTGTTTGAATGTTGTTGCGATGGAATTACATACTTCATTTGCAAAATTTTATCCATTAAAAAAAAAATTTCGTTTATATTGATAATTGGATTAAATTTAAAAACAAAATTGATAACAAAAAATTATAAGAAGGCTGAAAGAGTAATGGTAGAAGGTTCCGATTTGAAAATATAATTAATAATTTAAATTTGGCAATAACCGTCTCCAATTTCGAAAACGTTCCACAAGATTACTTTTGAAATGCGTACATTTATTCGCCTTTTTCTGCAAATAAAAAAAAAAATGAAATAACAAAGAGAAACATTTTTTTTTATGAAATTGAGAAGAAAAAAAAAGCAAATCATCAAAGATCAATTAAAAATATCTATTGTGAATATTTCCGCATTGTAGTACAAATTTCGATGGTCATTATTATTTAGAGCAAACTGTTGATGCATAATTAGGCAGAAAGCATTAATTGGACCATGAAGTTTTCCAGATTAGGCAACTTTCAACTGTCATAAATAGCTAAACAAAATAAGCGATATTATGCGCAAATACCTTGTTGATAGATGACCTTTTATATTAAATATAAAAAGAATGACCTCATTTGTACCACCCATCTGCTGTCGTCTTTTTGAATATCTTCGGATAGCAGCTTTGAATTCATTCGATTCTTCCATCATCTCCGTGTCAGTGCTTTCTTTGGAAGACTAAATTGAAATTTTCCTTCTAATCACCAAAGAGGATCGAAGTATTAGGAAAGATTCAAAGAATTTTAGCAAATGCTTCTTTTTCTCCTTTGGCTATTTTTTTCAATTTGTGAATTTTTTTCCACTTGTCAATTTTTAAATTCGAATATGCATTTAAAAAAACACAAAGAAATATTTATTAAATTGTATTTTGCTGAAAAACTTTTGCAGAATTTTCCCAAATTAAGTTGCATAAATTCGATTTCATGTAGCATATGATTTCTCTTTTTTTTTTTCTTCTGATTTGACAATAAATAAATTCCTAAATTTTAAAAGGCAAAATTTTTTTTTCGCGAATTTTTCAAATCAAAAACTGCTTTTCAAGCAAACTTTGATATTATCACGAAAATCGAGCAGATCTGATTTCAATGAATGTTTGATTTCAGCAATAAGTCCAACCAAAAGATCATCGACGTCTAAATTTAACGCTACGGATACTTCATAATGTACAAAACCATAAGTCATTGCAGCATTTTTTGCATCTAAAATTAAATTTTCATTTTGCAAAAACATCTTTCGATCGCTTTTATTTTAATATCAAGCAAAACAAAAAAAAGAAGAAAAAAGAAAGAAAATGGTAATTCTTCAGTTTTCTTTTTTTTTTTTTTCAGTAAATATGGAGTACAGAAAAAAGGGTATACCAAATTAATATTGGTAAGATTAATTAAAACATTGTTAATAATTACTTACCTGTCTTACTAACAGCACGTTTTCGTTCCAAATCAACTTTATTAGCAGCCATAACAATAGGTGTATGCCGTGCGGATGTTGATCCACGTAAACATTCAACAACATTCATAACTTCTTTGAAGGAACTTTTTGAATCGATACTGTATACGAGCAAATAAATATCTGCTTTATCATTTTGCCAAGAACAATCCTAAACAATAATAGACTGATTGACAACACACAATGATAATATGATTCACCCTATCCATTATTCATTATCATAAATTATAGTAATCGATGTTAATTCTATAAAGTTGAATTTATATATAGTCTATTTTGTTATGCTTATCTAAATTTGAATTTTAACTATCACATTTATCCAATTTAGAAATAATTCAATTCGAATTACATTCAATTTATTTGTTATCCATTTTATTCTGTTCATTTGAATTTGATTCAAACTATCACTCATAAATACTTGAATTAATAAAATAAACAAAAATATTGACTATATGTTGAATAACTTACATTATGTGGATCAACTTCATGGAATGTCAATTCGCTTTCCTTATCACCAATTATAATTGATACTGTATTGTCAACTTGCTCTGTAAAATATTTTCTTTTTTTTTCTTCTTATAAGCTACAATTAAAATAAAGATTAAAGATAAGTAAGGTCTTTTCGATGGATATTTAAATACTCAAAAAAATATTATACCGTTTAATTTAAATTGAAAAATTCAATAATGCCAAAGAATATAGTGTGTTATAAATCCACCAAATAAATTCCCAAATTTCTAAAAAACTAAAAATATAATAAAATCAAACCTATATCAGTAGCATAGGTATTTCGATGATCCGAGGTCATAAATTGTCCAATGAGAGCAGTTTTTCCTACACCTGTTGAGCCAAGTACATATATCTACAATTTTCGAATGTATTACCAAATATTTGAACATAACAAAAAAAAAAAACTTATGCATTTTCATTTTAAAAATGACAGATTTATCAATGACTTATCAGATTTACAAAAGCATTTGATACGAAAATGATATCATATAGAAAAAAGTTCAAATTTTCAATCACAGTCAGTTCCTAATTGAATAAAGTACCAAATGTCATGTGTAGCCTATCAATTTAAACATAATAAAAAGTAAATTGGAAAAGTTTAGAAAAGCTTAATCAGGGAATTTCAGGAAAGTTGAATTAAAGAAATATCAATTCATATGAACGTGACTGCTTGGACATACTTCATAAAAAGCGGTACTAGTTGATGGCTGATTATTTTCATCCTTTTCATTAAAATTAGAAGGCATAATGCTATCGTTTGATGTTGAATGTGAGCCGTCTGATTCATTTGATAAAACAAATCGACCTGGTTTTCGTGATTCTAAAAAAAAAAAAACTTGACAAAAACCTTTGCAGTGGAAGAAAAAATTAAGCCTATAAACTATCACTGAAATCATCAGGTGAAGCAATGAATCAGTGATTCTCTTTTGTAAATTTGATAAATTTATAATCTGCTGTATGTGTGAATTTATTGTGTAATGTAAAATATAAGCCAAAATTGTGCATCTATTGTGTTTACGTACCCTAACAAAGAGCACAATTCCACATGCGTTAACAAACATGCTAATTCTTGTAATCTAAGAACAATACCAGGATTCAAACGAAGAGTTATGGTATACTTTAAAGTTGTATTTCGAGTAGGTCGTTGGGCTAGATAATATGGAGGGTTTCTTTTTCATACTGTTTTCATCATAAATTTGTTGTATCGAAATCAGAATTGCTATGTTCGTTGTCGTATTAATAAATTGATCGTAATAAAGGTTTAGTTATCAAATTTTAGGTATTATCAAATAAAGAGGTAGGAACAACTCTCACTTTTTGTCACAGCTGAATCATCGACATAAACAATGACATCTCTTTTTCTTTTTCTTTTTTTTAACTATCGGCATGAAACTCGCTGGTTAAATTTTGTAAAAGAAAAAAAATATTCTAATTAATCATGTTTATTGATTGATTACATTACAATATTTTTAAATTTAAAGTTTATGTGAATTTTATTTTATTTTTATTTTTTGCTAAAACTATACACTAATGTAAAAATATACATATATTTAAAGCTAAGAATGTCCAGTTTTACCTCGTTTATGACAAGTGGGACTTTTGAGACGAAACGAATCACCTCGGCTAACAACAGTACCCTTTTCATCAATATTAAATTCCCGCACTCGGGTGTAATCATCAGAATCTACCAAATTAAGAAAGCGCTCCTCGATTGCTCTTTCTTTCGGTTTTGGCCAAACATCTGTTCGTGCTATATCCGATGGTCGATGCCTATAAAAAGCAAAATAGTAAAAAAGTAAAAATAAAATAAGAAACGATATGATATATCAGTAAAAACAATTCACTCTTCATAAACAAATTATCAAGTCCTCACCTTCTAACTTTTGTTCGATTCCGGAAACCGGACTATCGAACAAATCCGGGAAGATAGAGGCAAAAAAGGAAGCCCGACACGTATAATTTAATGCATTAATTATAATTAACTTAAGGAAATGATGAATTTTGAAAAACCAAAATCTTTTTATCGAATTTTAATGTTTTTTTTTCCTTTCTTGCAATCGAAGTTTGATCTGTTTGATTTGTTGGAATATATGGAACTGCGAGCTTTTTCAATTTATAATATCCTCGAATATTAATTAAGCATTTTAACTCCAAATTTGTTGTAATTAATTTAAAAAAGCATATTTTGCTTCAATGACTTATCAATGAGTTGTCCAACAATGTTTTCAAACATTTTTTTTATTTAGCAAATTTTTCTGGAAAATAATCACCGGTAATAAATAACTCTTTTAAATAGAATAATTAAAAGTAAAATTTTTTCAATGATTGGAAAGTTGTCAAAAAATTTTGTTCAATCTTTTCCTTCCCATTCATCCCTTCCTTAAATTTCAAAAATATAATATTTTGCAAAGTAAATGTCTAACAGATTACGTCCTATTCAAATGTATTTTTCACTTTACCAGACTAATAATATCTTAATTGCAAAAACATGCCATTGATCATCTTGTAGAAATCAAAGATTAATTTTGTTCAGAAAAAAAGTCGAAGAAAAAATAAACAAAATCTGCGGAAAATTTTGGACATTTTTAATGACTGGTAGATGGATAAAATGTTATTTTACGTTAATCAGCAGCAAGAAATTTCCATCTCCCCTCGAATTTCACTCGGTAATTTAAATTAATTGAAATATTTGCGAAAGTGGAGTGAGAGGAAAAGAAATAAAGCATTAATGATGAGAAGCAAGAAGGACAAGCTAGTCTGGAAATTTTGATATTTAAGTAAATTAATAAAATTTTTGCTTAGGATAATTAGCAGTGAATAAGTTCCACTTTTCCTCAAATTTCTTCAGTAATTTAAACTGAACTGAACGATTTGCAAATGGAGGAGGGAAGAAGTGGAATAAAGCATTAATCATCAAATGTAAGAAACTTAAATTGTATTACAAATGACAGAAGTGTACAACCCCTATTTTGACGCTTGCTATCAAAAGCCATAAAATGCTATTTAATCTTATCATTTGATTACCTGATTAATGGACAACACGAAAAGTTTCAATAATAAAGGAATAATATAGGGGAAAAGAGTAAAAGTTTAGCTCAAAAGGAAGTAAAAACTGATCGCTTAAATCAACAGCAACATTATTAATTACTACGTGGTAAAGCGGATTTGTTAGATCAATAACAAACATCATCAATTAGCAAAATTTCCCTCTTCCATTAATTTTGAGTAGTTTAGTTTGTTTTAAATGATTTCCGACAATTCCATTCCTTTAACTGATTTCTAGAAATTTAGAAGCAAAAAAAACAAACCGTTATTTAATTAACCACAGAAATCATTGATTTTAGCGGATTTCATACTTTAAGAACAAAATTAGACTAGTTGCAATACATTTCAATGAGAATTCAGGAGAAAAAACATTTTCCAGATTAAAAAAATACAGTTCGAGGAGATATTTTAGGTTCACGTGTAATAAATGTATCAAATGAATTCATTATATTCATAAAATAGCAATATTTACACTAATAGTACTCTTTTACATAAATTTCGTATTCGTCAAAATTTTAATCCAATAGGTCAAGTTACTGATAGGTCAAGAGGGTCAGCAATAACCTTTTGACTGAATAAATGGTAGAATACTTCCCATGTCTATAATACTTGACTACTTCTTTAGCTTTATGACTAATTTTACATGTATGTATAAATATATCATAAATCTTTACTTACATAATGAATTTTGACTTATTCGTAACAATTTCCTTTTCTAAATATCTTTATGCAATAGATATGAATGGAATAATTGAACCTTGAATGTAAAGTGGAATTTCGATAAATAGTAGGATGTGAACTTCTTCGTTGAACCTGTTGAGCTCCATCATCAAATGGATAACGTTTCATGTGAATTGATGCTCGAGATCGTTGTCTGAATGATTGTGAACGTAACGGCTGATTCATGCTCATAATCGACTTACTGAAATATTTATTGAAAATAAGTTATGAAGTATTAGACATTTTTTTATTCTTCTCATTCCATAACGCAAATATAAGTTTGATATTTTTATTAAAATTTAAATTCCACGCAATGAAAATGAAATATTATATTGTTTATGCATTGAGAATAGAAAGACGAGCAGAAATATCAGATATCTGTTGATCCATTATCATTTATCATTAAATGATTAATGACACTTGGTCAGAAGATAACGATAATACGTTAAACAACAATATGCTTAATGTTTGATAGTTTATTGACTAATATCGAATCGATTTAAATGCTATAATTTATATTATTAGAACAAGAAATTTAACAATTCATATAGTTCAACATTAAAATTTTAAATTATGACAGATTTTTCCCCACAGAATGAATTCACAAATTGGATTATAGAAGTAATTGTAAGTAGAACAAAAAGTTACGGAAAAAATTCTAAGATTTGTGCAGGATAAATTCACAAATCTGATTGTATGCGTAAATTGAAGAGCTATATTTTCAACTACTGAATAATTTAGTAATAGTAATAATAACAATAACAATAATAAAAATAGTAATAATAATAATAATAATAATAATAATAATAATAATAATAATAATAATAATAATAATAAT